AGCTTCCTCACCTGTAAATGGGATAACAGGGACCTCAAAGAGCTGCTGAGACTCAGTCCCTCTTTGCTCACCAACAGAGTGAAGCTGGACTATGTCTCTGATTTGATTTTTGTTTCACAGCCCTTGCATTTTCTGCTGAGGATGCTGAGTAAAGACTTGGAGCTTAGTAGGATCCCTGTATTTTGTTTTTACATCAGTAAAGCAGTGACAGCCAGAAACTAGGTGGTTTAAATTTGCTGAAATGTCTCCATCTGGTGGACTCTAGGAAATACTACAGGGTTTGATGCTGTCTCAGAAAAACAGTGGGGCGACAGCTGGGGCTGCCCTGCCCTGCTCAGAAACGCTGGTGGCTCCCCATTGTCTGCAGGGTAAAGTCCAAAAGCCAAGCCTGGAATTCAAGTGCCTCCACAATCGGTCCCCGCCCTACCTATCAGACCTTATCACAGCTCTGACCTCCTGCCCCGGCCAGGCCCAGCTCCTCCCTGGCTCCGGAACCAAGGCCCATTCCAGCCTTGCATATGGGCGTGCCCTGGTGCCCCAGACAGCCACTTGCCCTCTTCCTTTCCACCTCCTAAGGCTAACCTCCCCTCCAGGCACAGCTCATAGGCTACCTCTTCAACTCATCCTGGTCTTCCCTGACCTCCCACCGACACTTAACCGTTACTTTTATATTTCAATATTGAATGTTGCCTGGTTTTTGTTTGTTTTGTTTCTCTTTTTGTTTGTTTGTTTGTTTTTTCTTTTTTTGAGACCAAGTCTCACCCTGTGGCCCAGGCTGGAGTGTAGTGGCATGATCTCAGCTTACTGCAACCTCCACCTCCCAGTTTTAAGCTATTCTGCCTCAGCCTCCTGAGTAGCTGGGATTACAGGCGTGTGCCACCACGTCTGGCTAATTTTTGTATTTTTTTTTAAGTAGAGACTGGGTTTCCTCTGTGTTGGCCAGGCTGGTCTTGAACTCCTGACCTCAGGTGATCCACCCACCATGGCCTCCCAAAGTGCTGGGATTACAGGCATGAGCCCACTGTGCCTGGCCTGTTGTATTTTCTTAATCCGCTGTCCTCCTGTATCCAGCATGACAGATTAAAAGGGCATAAGCCCTGTAGATCCATATCCTCATCTGGCCTTCACTACTTCCTAGCAATGACACCAAGGGTATGTGCGGTAACCTTGGCTGCAGAACAGAGGTAAGAACACCAGTCTCACATCCCTGGTGTGAGAATTAAATAAGATCATGGATGCAAAAGTGGCTGGCACATAGTAAATGCCCAATAAATTGTTACTAGTGTGGCCAGATAAAATATAAGGTACTCAGATGAACTTGAATTTCAGATCATCTTTTTTCTTAAGTATATCCCAAATATTACTCAGGGGTTCTGTGGCACATTTCACAGATAACTGTTCATTTTATTAAATGTGCTAGTGCTACTGGCGATATGTTGGTGTAGTCAATCATCCCTATTCTTGGATTCTGTATTGACAAACTCAGCTAGTTGCTAAAACTTATTTGTAACATCATAATCAATACTTCACTGTCACAGTTATCTGCAGTTATGTGCGTGCACAGAGCACCAAAAAATTTGAGTCACCCAACGTGTACATTCCCAGCTGAAGTTGAACAAGGAGACTCTGCCTTCTAGTTTTCGCTTTCGTACCATAAATAAGTATGCTTTTTTGAGCTCTAGTTTGTGCCATGTTTTTCATATTTTTGTGCTTTTTTATTGGTGATTTAACTGTTTAAAAGGCCCCAAGTGGAGTGCTGAAGTTCTGTCTGGTGTTCCCCAGCCAAGAAATGTGCCTTATTGGAGAAAACAGGTGTGTCAGATAAATGTGCCTTATTGGAGGAAACAGGTGTGCCTTTAGGTAGGAGTTATAGTGCTGTTGGCTGCGAGTTCAGTGTTGATGAATCAACAAATTATATAAGGTGTCTTTAAACAGAAACACATAAAATGAGTTTATGTATTGATCAGTTGATGAAAATGTTGTGAGCAGACTCACGGACACCTAACCTTGTAATTTCTCCTGGAAACAGTAGTTCAGTATTTACTAATTCAGTGTTTGTAGCAACTTTATAGAACAGAATTACCTCAGATAATGAGAACTACACAGTTGACACATGCCTGTGTGTGTGTATATACATATATATATAAATGCAGATGCATTGTAATAAAATTAAGTCCTTATCTATTAGAGATACTACTGAAATATCATGAGGTTATATAATGTCTAAGATTGTTGTAAAATACTCCAGCAAGGAGATAAAAGTGTTTATATGGAGAATGCAAAAGAAATGAGATACCAAAAGTTGAAGGTTGTGGAAGCAATTATTTATATATTTTTTTTATTTTTAGTTTTTGGGACAAAGTTTTGCTCTTGTTGCCCAGGCTGGAGTGCAATGGCGTGATCTTAGCTCCTTGCAACCTCTGCCTCCCACAAGCGATTCTCCTGCCTCAGTGTCCCGAGTAGCTGGGATTATAAGCATGTGCCACCACACTCGGCTAATTATGCATTTTTAGTAGAAATGGGGTTTCTCCATGTTGGTCAGGAAAATTCCTGACCTCAGGTGATCTGCCGGCCTCAGTCTTCCAAAGTGCTGGGATTACAGATGTGAGCCACCACACCTGGCTGGAGGTGATGATTTATTGGACAATTTTCTCTACTTTTATGTTGTATGTTTGAAAAATATCAAAGGGTTTAAAATGCACTTGAGGAGAAAATCTTGGGGAAGAATTTCTTTTTTTTAAATTTCCTTAATTTTTTTCTTTTTTAATTTTAAAAAACATTTGGGGGCAGATGGCTTTCTTATTCAGTAGCTTTTACTCCGGACCTTCTGTTGAGGACAGATGTGTCATCTGAGATCCCATTATCAGTAAACCCCAAATCCTTCCACAAGCTGGGATGGGATTTAGGAGACCTGGCTCTAGTCTCAGCCATACCTCAGACCTGCTCGGTTATCTCTGACAACTCACAGTGCCACTGGACCTGTTTTCTTATCAGTTAAATAAGGAAGTTTAATTGGACAACCTCTGAATCCCTTTCATTGTTAAAGCCCTCTAATTTTAAAACCAGTATTTCTTAAATTGGCATGTTCTGATCCAGTATTACAACCTCTCTCCAGCTGTCTCTCCCCTTGCCCAATCCATCCTGATACCATATCCTGTGACTCTTGCCCATTTTCTCCCTTTTCTTGCAACATTCTTACCACGAAGCTCTTTGATTTTGGTTTATCTAAAGCCTGAACTCCCTAGCCTAGCAGTTAAGGTCCTTGCAGACAGAGCACCCACTGAATGCTGTGACATGATCTCACTCTACCAAGAGCAAGCCCACAGTGCAGTTTAAAAAGGGCCAGGCTGGGTGGTGGCTTACGCCTGGAATCCCAACACTTTGGGAGGCTGAGGCAAGATGATCACCTGAGGTCAGGAGTTTGAGACCAGCCTGGCCAACATGGTGAAACCCCGTCTCCACTAAAAATATAAAAATCAGCCAGGCATGGTGGTGGGTGCCTGTAATCCCAGCTACTCAGGAGACTGAGGCAGGAGAATCACTTGAACCTGGGAGGCAGAGGTTGCAGTGAGCTGAGATCACACCACTGCACTTCAGCCTGGGCTACAGAGCGAGACTCCATCTCAAAAAAAAAAAAAAAAAAACAATCCCAGCTACTTGGGAGGCTGAGGCAAGAGAATCACTTGAACCTGAGAGGTAGAGGTTGCAGCGAGCCAAAATCATGCCACTGCACTCCAGCCTGGGTGACAGAGCGAGACTCCATCTCAAAAAAATTAAAAAATAAATAAATAAAAATACAAAGGAATCCTAGAATATGTAGCCTCTGATACATGGTTTTTTTTTCCCCAACATAGTGTTTTTGAGATTCACCCATGTTGTGTCTCAAAAAAATTAAAAATAAAAAGGGCCAGAAAAACAGGGACAACATATGCCATACCAGACTACTGCAGAACACAGAGGCAAATCACCCAAGAAGGTCTGGGGAGGCAAGAAGTCTCCTGGAAGAGGTGATAGCTGAGCTGAGACTTAAAGGCTGACCAGGAATTACTGCAGCTGACAGGGGAGGGAACATAGAGGCAACAGCATGCATGAAGAAATGGAGGCAAGAACATTGGCAAAGGGCCAAAAGTCATCATCCATCATCATATCTAGCACCATGAATTTCTCCAGCAGTATTTGCCACTCTTCCTTGCCACCCTCCTTTGCCTCCTGCCTAGTCTGTGCGGTGGAACTCCTGTGATTCATATTTGCGAAGGTATATATTGGACTCCCCACAGGCCTCCTTTAAAATAACCAGGTCAGGAGAAACTTAAAACTTCCCACTGCACTCTAGTTTTGCTCGTCTCCCATAATCCTGATGGCCCATTTTCCAGTAAACTCAAGCTCAGAAGTGCTGTCAGACATTCAAGATCACACGGCCAGTGAGGGAGGGGAAGATGGGGATGCAAAGCAGGTGGACCTGTCGTCCCTTAACTCCAGAGGTAGTCTGAGCACACAGTCGGCCACGTGTCTGCCAGAGGGAGCGTCCTCACAAGTTCCCCACATGCTGCAGCGTATACAAGTGCGCTGCTGTGACCCTCTTTCTACACTGAGAAAGCTGAGATCAGTTTCCTCGGGACCGTTTAATAAAGTCCTGCCGGTTGCCTCAAACATCCCATCCCTCCAACGGCGTAAGACTTTAGGTCTTTCCCACCTCCCACGTGACTATGTGACATTTGACGGGTAACTACATGTCAGCTGTAAAATGAGTCTTGCGGGATCGTTCTGGCGTCCGTACAGTCCCGCAGAGAGCAGCAAAGAGCACACGCACCCTTCGCACACTCGTCCCCCGCAGAATCAGAGGGTGCGCACACAATCACCCGTAACCAGGCTGTGCGCAGGCGCACTCCGCTAAGTCCCGACGGGTGCTTTGTGGCTGCGCACTCGGCTGGCTTTGCGGCCGCACTGCTTGACGGCAGCGGTATCCGCCCCAAAAGGCCGGCGTTGCCAGGGTAACGGTGAGCGCATGGGGCCAAGAAAGGTAAGGTCCCTGGGCGAGGAACGTGCGGTCCTAGCTGAATTTGGGGTTTCGCTGCGAAAGGAAATCTAGCTCTTCCAAAAGCTTTGCAGCGCGAGAGCGGAAAGGGCCCAGGGACTGTGCTGGGGTCGCACAGCCGGCCGGGACGGAGAGCCAGGCTTCCTAGCACGCCCGGTCACTGACTCCGCGCCTTCCTTGTGTGCCTGCAGCCCTTGGTTCTTCTTGGAAACGCCGACGCCTTGTCCGGGGCTGGTGGGCTGGGGCGCCAAGATGCTGCTGACAGTGCCCAAGAGGAGCCTCAGTCTCTGGTGGAGTTGGGTCGCGGGTAGGGGGAGCCAGGGTAAGAAGCAAAGGGGTAAGTTAAGACAGGGGGTTAGGAATTCGTGCGCCCCATAACGCTTTTTGGCGTGTGCGCAGTTTATTTGTATTAATAGTTGCAGCTGTCGTCTGGTAAGCACTTTACACGTGGCAGGCCCCGAACGAGATGCTTTCCGCAAAATTATGCATTTAATCCTCACAACAACTTTCAAAGGCTTATTATCTGTTTATATGGCTTATTCTCGGGTTCCAACTTGAAAGCTCCCCGGAGGCAGGATTGTTTGCTTTGTCCCTTTCATCCTTGCCTTCCTCAGCCGAGGAGGTGCGCAGCTGGAGCTTCAAACGTGTTTTGGTTGGGAGAAGGTGAGATTTGCTGGGTGGGTGGTTTTTAAACCCGGTTTGTTTGGCACCTAGTCCAGGAAATTTGGAAAATTAAATGGAGCCACCTCCCCCTTTTTGTTTGTGCTTCTAATAGACATTTACCAGCACCTAAGAGGTGTTAGCTTGCGTGCTTAAGGGAAGAATAAAAAACAGGCGTTGCTTTTTAACAGAAAGTAAGAATACTTCATGCAGCTCCGGGGTCAGGTGTGCGTAGGTTGGGGAAAGGAGAAATAACAATTCCTCGGGTGCGCTCAGATCTGAGTCACTTTCCCCATCTATACAATGGAAATAAAAATAGTCTTGGCTGGGCGCGGTGGCTCACGCCTATAATCTCAGCACTTTGGGAGGCCGAGGCGGGTGGATCACGATGTCAAGAGATCGAGACCATCCTGGTCAACAAGGTGAAACCCCGTCTCTACTAGAAATACAAAAAATTAGCTGGTCATGGTGGTGCGCGCCTGTAGTCCCAGCTACTCGGGAGGCTGAGGCAGGAGAATTGCTTGAACCCAGGAGGCGGAGGTTGCAGTGAGCCAAGAATCGTGCCATTGCACTCCAGTCTGAGTAACAACAGCGAAACTCCGTCTTAAAAAAAAAAAAAAGTCTTTACCTCAGGGGGCTATTGGGATTAAGTGAATTTGAATAGACCATGCTTTCATCAGTGGTTGGCTACATGCTAAAATCACCTGGGTTCACCCGGGTAATTCTGATGTAATTGATTGCAGGTCAGGCCTGGGCAAGAGGAATTAAGGGTAGCTAAGCTTGAGGACCACTCTGTGATGTACCACTCCATGGTTTAATTTTCTTAATCTACTTTTTTCAGTCATCATTCTCTACTTAAGAACCTATGTGTCACTCCAATTCCAAACCAGCCTTTGCATCCCAAACCTCTTGACGACTTACCCAGTATTTCCTGTACATTTTTGTGCACCTCAGGCACCGCTCTTCTTGTCTGTGGAATGCAGATGGTACAGTCAGCTCTCCCTATCAGGTTCCGAATCTGTGGATTCAACCAGTCTTGCATTAAAAATATTTGGAAAAATAAATTTTGAAAACATACACAAATAAGTTATTTACCTAGCATTTACATTGTATTAGGTATTACAAGTAATCTAGAGATGACTTAGGAGGATGGGTATATGTTATATGCAAATACTACAACATTTTATTCAAGGGACTCGAGCTGTGGATTTTGGTAGAAGGTAAGTCCTGGAACCAATCCTGTGGATACCAAGGGATGACTATAGTACCCACGTGCAGCACATGGCACAGTTAGTGCCTGGCATCTTGTACCTACCTGTGACAGTTTCCTCCTCTTATTTTACTCACATCCAACCTCTTAACAACATGCTGTTTTCCTGTCATGGCACTAAAGAACCGATTTTTAAATGTCCATTGCAGACATGGGGAATGCAGTCTTTTTAGTTAGTACTAAGGGAGCAGCAGATGCAAGTCCCCCATCTGATCCCAGGAACGCTGCTCCTTGAGTGGAATGTCTTGTACCATTTACATTTTTTCCCTTGTAAATGGTTAAGTTTTCCTAGTTAAGTGCATCTCTGTATCTGTGTCACACAATATGCTCACATTTACTTCCCTCCTTTAGACATTACTGGATCGCGCCTGTTCCGTTAGCGCCAACCTGCTTACTGTGTTTCCATGTATGTTACATACTTGTTTTGTCTTCTTGGGTCTTACGTATAGCCACAGAGGGTTAGGTACTGGCTTTGGCTTCCTTTTCTGCCTCATAGTGCTGAGTGCACAGTGGGTAGTTCCATTATTGCTGAGTAACCCTCTACCGTCTGACTTTGAGAAAATAGTCATCAGACAAAAGTAGACAGACCCTGCCTGTGCTTTTGGCAGAACCCAGGGAGAGGGTGTGGGCTTGGTAGTTCAGCAGACCTGCGTCATTTGATGCCACCACATTTGGGGTCCTTTTACAAAACTCTCTAGCCTGAATCTTTTTCCTATTTCTAAAATGGTGTTGCTACTGCCCACCCTGTAATACTAATTATAGCTGATACATACATAGTAATCACAGTGTGTCAGGTACTGTTCTATAAAATAGTCTGTTCTTATCTTGACTTTTGCAGATGAGGAAACTAAAGCACAGAGAGAGTCAGTGCCTTTTGCCCAAAAATCACACTGCTAGGAAGTGGTCAAGTTGATTCCAGTGCTGGTAGTCTGGCTTTAGAGTACCTGCTTGAAGCCTGTAGCATTTGATGGTATATAATAGATCCTTAAATGATAACTGCTGCTGTCATTGTTATTATTTATTAATATACTTCAAAAATTGGGAGCTGATTGACCCAGTGTTTAGTATGTGTTTTAAGATCCTCTTGGAAAATGAAGTGCTTGTGAGATTTAATTTGTTGAGGACAGGATTTCAGTTTTGTCTTTGTATCCCCAGCACCAGTGATTATTAGGAATTCCTGGTAGTGAATGTCTGTTGGGTAGGTGAAATAGAAGCAATCCTGGTAGACAGAAATCCAGTTGTGCTTGCTCTCAGGAGACCTAACCTTGCAGCTTCGGGCATGTCACTAGGTCTCAGTGTTGTCAGGTAGAGTAGAAAGATTACCACTCATTTCCTGGGGTTATTATGGGGTTTAACTGCAATATTCTAGGTCAGTGTGATTTGCATTGCTCACGCAAACTGTTACTACTTTTAGTTTATTGCTTTATAAATATTTGATTTCTTCCCACAGACCACAAAGTTTTCTGAGCCTAAGTACAGATGTACTCATATTTTGGATCAAGGTATTGATTGTTTCTTTCTCTTTGTTGTCTACTCTTTAAAGAATGCCTCCTCTGAAAAATGGCAGAAGCAGTTTTCCATGCCCCAAAGAGGAAAAGAAGAGTATATGAGACTTATGAGTCTCCCTTGCCAGTCCCTTTTGGTCAGGACCATGGTCCTCAGAAAGAATTCAAGATATTCCATGCTGAAATGATTAACAATAATGTGATTGTGAGGAATGCAGAGGACATTGAGCAGCTCTATGGGAACGTAAGTGCGGGCGGCCTCGGTAGGGTTACTTTCAGAGAACCCTGAGCAAGCAGTCCTTTTCTTCTCCCCATCCCAGCCATCCCCCCACACCAACCATGAACAATGTGTTTTCTTTCCTCGTGATTTGGTCCAGTTGTAGGAAGAGTACAATTTGAATTGGTGCCCAAAAGCTATATATTAGGGTAATAGAATGACAGATGGAGCACCCCTGCCCACATACCTTTATTTCAGTCATGAAGTAGGGTCAATGGATTGACTTTTTTTTGTCTGTCAGTTGTAAAACCAATGCATGTTTTAAAAAAGAAATTTACAGAAATGTATGGGTAAAAGTGAAAATTCCCCACTCACTCCCATTCCATTCCCAGAGGTAGCCACAGTGTGGCATAGTGTCCCTGCTCAGGCACTGATCAGATGGGGCTCTGGCATGGAGCTCCTTATCTGCTGCCTTCTGGTGGGGGACGTCTTCTCAGATGTGGACAGGTTCTAGTTTTTATTGTTTTCTGGCATTGATCAGGTTGAATGAAGAATGGTAGTTCTTTAAAAAAAGATTTTCCATAGTCTGTTCATTACTGCGGGCATTTTTAAAAAGCAGCTTTATTGAGTTATAATTTGCAACTATAAAGTTATCCCATTGTAAGTGTACAATTCAGTGATTGTCATAAATTTATGGAGTTGCACAACTCTCACCACAGTCCAGTTTTAGAACATTCCCATCACCACAAACTTCCCTTGTGCCCATGACACTTAATCCCTGCTCTCATTGCCAGCCCAAGGCAGCCACAGATCAGTGTCTTCTCTCCATAAATGTGTCGTCTCTAGATGTTTTTTAGAAGAGTGGGTGGCACTGAACATGGTGAGGTAGGAGTCTGAGTAGGCCAAGGGCACCTCCTCAGGGAGGCCTTCATTCACAGTATGTAACGTTAAGCAAGAGGCTTTATAAAGTGCTGAATGTGTGATTTATTCTTGGTTTTTTTGTTGGTGGTGGTGGGGTTGTTCTTAGTTGTTTTTTGAGACCGGGTCTTACCCTGTCACCCAGGCTAGATTGCAGTGGTGTGATCTCACTACAACCTCTGCCTCCCAGGTTCAAGTGATTCTTCCACCTCAGCCTCTCGAGTAGCTGGGACTGCAGGTGCGTGACACCATGCCTGGCTAATTTTTGTATTTTTTGGTGGAGACAGGGTTTCACCTTGTTGACCAGGCTTGTCCTGAACTCCTGACCTCAAGTGGTCTGCCCACCTCAGCCTCCCAAAGTGCTGGAATTATAGGCGTGAGCCACTGTGCCTGACCTATTTATTCTGATCGTTAATCTAGATAGAGAAAGGGATATTTGTTTTATTATTATTTAAATTTTCTGTGTGTTTAAATATTTTATAATAAAAAGGGGGAAAATATATGTTGTTTTGGGAATCAGCAAGAATGAGAGGAATACTTCAGTTCTGGAGTACAAAAGAATCCAAGGGGTTTTTTTGCATCTGGTGGGCATGGCTCCTGCTTTCAGGAACACTGTGCTCCTGAACCACAAGTGGAGAAGAAACTCTGCCTCTGCCTGCCCTCAGCTTAACAAACCTAGACTGAAAGCATTAGTTATGGGATAATTGAGGTGTGCTAAAAACTTACTAGTACTCTACAAATGATTAGAAAGGTATTATGCTAAGAACATCATTAGTCATCATTAGATAATCAGAGGGAAAATGTAAAGACCTGAAAAGTGGGGTGAACCTCTTGTTAACTCAGATGGGTATAGTTGGCTCTCCATATCATGGGTTCCACTTCCATAGATTCACCCAACCTTGGATTGAAAATATTTGGGGAGAGGCCGGGTGCGGTGGCTCAAGCCTGTAATCCCAGCACTTTGGGAGGCCAAGGCGGGAGGATCACAAGGTCAAGAGATCGAGACCATCCAGGCCAACATGGTGAAACCCCGTCTCTACTGAAAATAAAAAAAAAAATTAACTGGGCATGGTGGCATGTGCCTATAGTCCTAGCTACCCGGGAGGCTGAGGCAGGAGAATTGCTTGAACCCGGGAGGCAGAGGTTGCAGTGAGCCGAGATTGCGCCATTGCACTCCAGCCTGGTGCCTGGTAACAGAGCAAGACTCTGTCTCCAAAAAAAAAAAAAAAAAAAAGGAAAATATTTGGGGAGAAAAATTGCATCTGTACGAAATGTGGATTTTTATTTTCTTGTCATTATATTTTATTAAACAATATAGTATAACAACTATTTACCTAGCATTTGCATTGCATTAGGTATAAGCAGCCTAGAGATGATTTAAAGTACATGGGAGGACCTACATAGGCTATATATAAGTACTGCACCATTTTATATCAGGGACTCAACCTTCTGCAGATTTTGGGATCCACCAGAGGTTCTGGAACCAGTCCCCCCTTGTGGCTACTGAGGAATTACTGTATATTCTACCCAAGCTAAAAAACTGGTAACTAAATATAAGCTAACTTTGCTTTCTCTCTTCCTGGAAGGGTTATTTTGGAAAAGGTATTCTTTCAAGAAGCCGTCCAAGCTTCACAATTTCAGATCCTAAAGTGGATGCTCAATGGAAAGGTAAAGTTGTTGCATCATTCAGTTCTTTTGACAAATTATCATTTTCCTTCATGTTTGATCTTATGCCTCAGGTTATGTAGTAAAATTCTAGAGAAGTAACATATACACTGGCAATTTTACTACCAAAGTTAGCAACTAGAATAATTCTAATCAAAGCAAAACAGTTATGATTGGGTGAAAATGTGTTTAATTTATAAAATTATCAAGTGTTAATTGGGCTTTTTTGTTAAGTGTTTGCCTAGCAGAGTACTATGGCTGTGGCAGGTGCTGGTAGTTAAGTACCTGCTCACCTGTGGCACTGTGCAAGTTTTTAAAGTTTTATTTCCAGAATTAGAATTTATAATAGCCATGATATATATGTTAAAACATACTAATGTATGTAGTTCTTCCTTGCTAATTCTCTTTGATTTACAAATCTTTTAACTTAGTGTATTTCTCTAAGGAATTCTTATGGTAGTTACTTAAGAACCAACCACCAGCATGTTAAAACCTAATTAGGATTTTTTAAATGTATATAGAAAATACACAGATTAAAACTGCACTGAGATACCATTTCAACAATCAGGCAAAAATCCAAAAGTCTGGCAATATACTGCATTGGCGAGGACTTTAGAAACAGACCTTCTCCTCAAGCCTGTAATCCCAGCACTTTGGGAGGCCGAAGCGGGTGGATCACGAGGTCAAGAGATCGAGACCATCCTGGTCAACATGGTGAAACCCCGTCTCTACTAAAAATACAAAAAATTAGCTGGGCATGGTGGCGCGTGCCTGTAATCCCAGCTACTCGGGAGACTGAGGCAGGAGAATTGCCTGAACCCAGGAGGCAGAGGTTGCAGTGAGCCGAGATCGCACCATTGCACTCCAGCCTGGGTAACGAGCGAAACTCTGTCTCAAAAAAAAAAAAAAGAAACAGACCTTCTCTTGCATTGCTGGTGGTGTGCATGTGGTACAGCCCTTATGGAGGTGAATTTAGCAATGTCTAGCAAAATCATGTATGCATTTACTTTGTTTTCTTTTCCCCCATTCCTCTCTCCCCTCAGTCCTTGGTAACCTTTATATGTTTTCTGTCTATGAATTTACTCTTTACAGATATTTCCTGTATATAAATACAGTTATACAATATCTGCCCTTTTGTGTCTGTTGCTTTCAGTTAGCATGTTTTCAAGGTTCATTCCTGCCATATAGCATATATCAGAATTTCATTCTGTTTTATAGGGGAATAATATTCCATTGTATGGACATAGTTCCTTTAGTTCATCTGCTGATGGATATTTAGGATTTTTCTGCATTTTGGCTCTTCTGAATTATACTGGTGTGAACATTGGCATATATGTATCTGAGTCTATTTTTAGCTGTTTTGGATATATACCCAGGAATGGAATTACTGGGTCATATGGTAATTGTCTGTGTCACATTATAAGAAATAACCAAACTGTTTTCCACATTGGCTGCATAATTTTACATTCCCACTAGCAATGCACCAAAGGTTCCAATTTCTCCATATCCTTGCCAACACTTATTTTAAAAAATAATAGGTACTGTAGCTCATGCCTCTAATCCCTGAGCCCGGTGGATCACAAAGTCAGGAGTTCGAGACCAGCCTGGCCAACGTAGTGAAACCCCATCTCTACTAAAAATACAAAAAAAATTAACTGGGCGTTGTGGTGGTCGCCTGTAATCCCAGCTACTCGGGAGGCTGAGGCAAGGAGAATTGCTTGAACCTGGGAGGCAGAGGTGGCAGGAGCTGAGGTCGCGCCACTGCACTTGAGCCTGGGCAACTATGTGAGACTCCCTCTCAAAAAACTATATAATAATCATAATAGTCATCCTAATGAGTATAAAATGGTAAAAAATTTTCATTTTAATTAAGTCCAATTTATCTATTTTTTTCTACTATTGCCTGTGCTGTTGGTGTCTATTTAAGAAACCATTGCCAAGTACAAATCATGCAGATTTTCCCAGTGTTTTCTTTTAAGAGATTTATAGTTTGAACTCTTAAGTTTAGGTCTTTGGTCCATTTTGAGTTAATTTTTGTATACTGTGTAAAGTAAGGGTCCAACTTCGTTGTTTTGCCTGTGGATATCCAGGTGTCCCAATATATGCATTTACTTCATCTAGCAATCCCACTTCTAGGAATTTATCTTAACAATACACTGACAAAATATGAAAAGAAATAGCACAGGGCTATTCATGCAACACTGTTATATCCAAAGACTGGGAACAACCTATATGTTCATCAGGAGAGGACCAGAGGGATAAACCACATTTATATGATTAATCCATATAATGAAGGACTGCAAAGCTGAGACAGGAATGGGGGATCACTAGGATATGCTGGTAGGCGAAGACGGCACAACGTAAAGGAAAGTACATGCTGTGCTGTGGTTTATCTAAAAAGATGGAAATATAAAATACATACTTTATTTTTTGAGACAGAGTCTCACTTATTCTGTCATTGAGGCTGGAGTACAATGGTACAATCTGCAATTTCAGCTCACTGCATCCTCTGCTTCCTGGGTTCAAGTGATTCTCCTACCTCAGCCTCCTGAGTGAGTAGCTAGGATTACAGGCGTGTACCACCACACCTGGCTAATTTTTGTATTTTTAATAGAGACAGGGTTTCGCCATGTTGACGAGGCTGGTCTTGAACTCCTGATGTCAAGTGATCTGCCCACCTTGGCCTCCCAAAGTCCTGGGATTACAGGCATGAGCCACTACACCTAACCAATTTTTTTAAATGGAAGGGTAACCCATAATTTTTTAAAATCCCAGTAAGAAGGGATGAAACAGGATGAAGAGAGTGGAAAGACTTTATAGATTTGCTTTGAAACCATATAAATATATTACATAATTATAAAGCAAGTTTGGCCAGGTGTGGTGGCTCACACCTGTAATCCCAGCACTTTGGGAGGCCAAGGCGGGTGGATCACCTGAGGTCAGGAGTTCAACCAATATGGCAAAACCCTGTCTCTACTAAAAATACAAAAATTAGCCAGGTATGGTGGAGGGTACCTGTTATCCCAGCTACTCGGGAGGCTGAGGCATAGAAAGGCATGTTTTTGCCATTGTTGACTGGACAGTATTGTATTAACTTTCTAGGTGTGTGATTTTGTGAATCTTAAAATTCTCAGTCTTTCCTAGATTTGTAGTGTTTGTTCCCCTTATGGGAAATTTGCCTGAAACTAATACAACTTCTTTGTTCCAGATATGAAGACAAACATGCCTATCATCACATCAAAGAAGTAAGTCATAATGAACTTTGGCTTCTGTAAAAGTTACGGTTTAAGTCAGATGTTTTTAGGTAGCCTTGTCCCATGGAGCTGTCCGCTCCACACCTTTTTTTCTTTTTTTTTTTTTTGTAGTAGATGTATCCTTGAAAGTTATGTCTGAATTTAATGTGGATCAAATCATTTTTGAAATGCCTTACATGAGTTTGTTTGTTTAAATACTATTTTGCCAGTTGAATTCTTTCCAAATTATGAATAACTATCCTGTAAAAGCTATGTTATTAAGTCCTCATATGCTTGGGCCTAGATTTTGAGCCAGCCTTCTGCCCGCTGGGCACAGATGGTCCTGTCCCACTTCCTCAAGCTACGCTGTAGGGTCAGAGAAAGAGGCTTTGACAGAGGCCTTTCCTCATTTACTCTTAGACATTCCCAGAACGTTTCTCTCTAACTCCCCAAACACACACACGTGGCCTGGCTGATTCCTGCATGTCCTTAATCCTGCTCATGCATGACCTCTCCTGGGTTTCTCTCCCTACCACCATCCCCTCCTCTGGCCCCCACGGTCCACTTTGGCGTACAGCACTCTCCTCATCTGTCATACATGGGTTCAGACTGTCAGAGACTGTTGGTTCTTGGAAAGCAGGGACCAGGCCCTTCTCCTCTCTCCACCTCCATACTTTGTGGTCCCTTGGTATGAGTGTTGACTATCTCCATCCATCCCCAGCCTTCTTGTCCCTGTGGTACAGTACAAGTCTCAGCTCTTCCATGAAACCTTATAAAAACTTCTCAAGTCCCCAGTGATTTTGTTCATCTTGCTTCTAGCACATAAAGGCAGAATCCAGCAGCTCTTTTTGGGTTACATGCCTGGCAACCCCATGGCCAGCGGGGTGACAAGGAGGTGGTGGCACCAGGGAGATCTCAATAGCAGTTCTGGCTGTAACCTCAGGCTGGGATCAGGAGTGGGATTCTGGTGTGTGGGAGGGACCTGCTAAGAACCTGGCAGAGCCCCCAGCCTTGGAGGAACTACAGTACAGACAGGTTGCCACAACAGAACCTAGGGGCAGCTTACCCGTCAGAACTGCATTCTAGCCAGGCTAGCCATAACATGACGTGAAGTCAAGCCAGCTTGCCAGTGTAGAGGTTCTGCACAGGAAGACAGCAACCTCCCTGAAGAACATCCCTTTGTAAGCACTACAGTATCCCTCTCCAGGAAGTTTCATTGACCCTTGTATTCATTTCCTAGGGCTGCCATAACAAAGCACCACAGACTTAATGGCTTAAAACAACAGAAATTTATTCTCTCATGGTTTCGGACACCAGAATTCTAAACTCAAGGTGTCAGCAAGCTATAGTCCCTTGAAAGGCTTTGGCGGCGGAGGGGGGGGGGGTCATCCTTCCTTGCCTGCCTTCTCTTCTGCTGGCTCCTGGCACCCCTTCGCATTCCTTGGCTTGCAGATCCGTCTCTCTAATCTCTGCCTTCGTGGTCACGTGGCATTCTCCCTTGTGTGTTTCTGTGTGTCTTTGTCCAAAATTTCCTCCTTTTTTTTCCCACATTAAAAAAAATGGATACATAATAGATGTATGGGTACATGTGATATTTTGCCTCTTCTAAGGACACCAGTCACTATGTCCTTTCATTACATTGATTTCATCTGCAAAGACCCTGTTTCCAGTTAAAAGTCATATTCACAGGGACTGGGGTACATAGTCTGGGAGGTGTATGCTGTCCTACTGTTCCTTACTCAAGGCCCCACGGTTAGAGAGATGCACTAAGAAGTAAAAATGGTAACATGAACTATTCACCAATAAGCAGGCCTCGCATGAACTCAGTCTGCATTCAGACATTCTCTCTTCCATCCTCAACACTCCTGATATACCTTATTGTGGTATCACCTTAGCTGATTTTCCTTTAACTCTAGTCTAACTGCCAGATTCTCGTTTTCTAATCCCTTAGCCTTACTTTGATCACTTTCATAGACTTCATGAATCCTGCTGCTTTTTTGCAACATTTAAATGTTCAATTTGCCGTCGATTTGCATTGAATTTACATTACTACAACAAAGGACAAAGTGACATAGACTCGACACATAGTGACAGTGTGGGAATGTTGCTTGAAGAAGGTATGCTTGGGATTAATTTTTTATAGGAAATTTTCAGATTGTAACTCATTTCCCCGTGTGAACCTAAGGGTGTTTAAAGATGTTGTCAGCGAGCTACATATGTCCCTCAACCAAAACCAACACTTGATTTATTACTTGTGGGTAACACTTGGAATCACAATCTAAATTTTGTAAAATATAAGACAAATTGATTCATGTTCATATTTTTAGATTAATTTATCAACTTAAGTACTTGTCATAATTGTTGTTTGTATTTTTTGTAGAAACAGAGTCTCGCTTTGTTGCCCAGGCTAGTCTTCGGCTCCTGGGCTCAAGTGATCCTCCCACCTCAGCCTCCCAAAGCACCAGGATTACAGGTGTGAGCCACTGCACCTGGCCATAATTGTTTCTTTACTGGTGCCTCTGAAATTCTGATTTCTATTTCAAGTGGATTCACTCAAATTGACCTTTTTCCAACAATAGTTTTCCTTGGGTGAAGAACACCTTCTGCATAACCCTTTCTAAAGGTAAGTGTCAGGATCCTTCTGTGATGCCTTTGGGGAATTGACACAGGTAGGGGTATGTCCCTGAGGGACCACCCCTGATGGTCATGCTGGTCCACCCACCCCGTTGTGGTCCTTTATTCTGCCAGAGTTTACTTTGTCTACTCTGCATTAGGTAGGTGCTGAGGACCCAAGAGTGAGGAAAAGACCCAGTCCACTTTCTTGAGGGATTTACAGTCTAGTGAGAAAGGGAGAGAAGTGAACAGTTGTGCTGTTCTGTAGTAGGTATTGTGGAGATATCATCACCATCAGAGGCAACAGGTGCTGACGACTACAGCAGTGCCAGTCCCAGTCTCTGAGCTTGCCTGCATTACCTCATTTCATCTTCTCAAGAAACCTTCAAGGGTAGATACTAGAGATGTTTCCGTTTTATAAATGGGGACTTGGGTGAGAGTTCAGTAGCTTGCCCAAAATTACATGGGCTCACCGCCAGAGCCTGGGAGGCATTGATTTGGGTGTGCGTGCCAGCACTCCCTGAGCACCTTTCCAGGGCTAAGTATTCTGCCAGTGATGGACCTGTGTGTCATCTCAGGTCCTCACATCACTCCCTTGAGGTGGGTTCCATTCTCCATTTTCAACAAATGGAAGAACTGAACACAGGGAAGTGAAGCTCCTTGCTCAGGGTCAGTACGTGGACTTAGGCACTGTGGCCCCAGAACCTGTGTGCACTAATCACTCCAAACCACTCTGCTGTGCACTTCCAGTGATAAATAGACATTCATCAGTACGATGGGGAACTGTACCCTGTGCAAATAAGAGAGGTGTGTGTTCAAGGGTGCAGGAGCATGAGAAGCCATGGTGTGTTCGGATGGGCACGTCCTGTGTCCTTGAGGTCCTGGATGATGCTACTTTCCCCAGTCCTGTCACTGCTTCCAGTCGTGGCTGCTGCCTGGTCCCTCTACCATGCTCCCCGTTTTGCTTTCTGCTTTTTACTTATCATTTCTCTTCCTGCAACTCCTCCAGCATCTGGGATTGTTGGCAGCAGGACTTGGCTTTTTAAGGTGTTGCCAGCCAGCGAGAGGACGCCTTCAGCTCTGACCCATGTATCCTTGTCTTAGTCATTTGTATGTGGTTCTTTTCATCATGTCTGACTTGGAGGCTTTCTTCTGTGTGCTCTTGGAGCCTCAGTCTTCTTTGACCTTCATAGTGATCCTCTGAGATCCTTAAAAGGGAACACTGGTGTGGCCTGGTTCTGGTGTGTAGCAGAAGAGCACAGAGGTAGAGATGCTAAGTGGCTTGGCTCAGAGCCACACTGAAGAGCCAAATCCAGGACCTAGACCTCCTGAGGCGGCATTCATTCCCACACTGCTGCCTCTGCTCTCACAGAACAGCGAATTAAGGCATTTCCATTTATTAACAACATCTTTTTAAATATACTTATTAAATATTCATCTTTTTAAATATTGAGTCTGATTTATTTTTCAAGCCACTTCTAAAAACTCTACAATGATTAGTAGCAAATATAGTATAGTATTGATTGAACACTTCTTATGGGCTATGCACTTTACATGTTTTATTTAATTATTGCTGCAATCCCAGGAGGTAGGTCCTGGGGTATCCCTGGTTTGTAGATTATTGCTGAGCCTTAGAGAGGTGGAGTCATGTAGCTAGTATGAGAACATGTTGGAGCAATGACTGGAACCCATGTCTGCCTTGACTGCTCTGCTGCAAAGAGCAGAGCAGTGCCCTCTGTGTGCTCCCTCCATTCCAGGTCTTCTGGTCAAAGGAGGAACTGTTGAACCTTTAATTCAGTGGTTCTTTCACATGTTTCGAGTCAAGGAATTTGGCAAAGGTTGTGGGTCCCTTCCTCAGAAAAATATACATGGTCACAAAAATTTGTGTTCAAATAAAGGAAATTTATAGACCCTGTGAAGCTAATACTTTTGTTGATATGAAGAGGTAAGATTCTTTTTAGATCTCTCACATGAAAGTTCTTTTGAATATATGCATGGGTGGCCACGTTCCAGGTAAGACACCCTGCTGGTTTTGGCATAGCTATGTTCTTTTTCCTAATTTTAAAAGTAATGCACAGCAAGGTGCCTTTGAGGTGATAGTACTAATATCTACATTTTATAGGTGGGAAAATTAAAGCACAGAGAAGTAATTTGCATTGCCACACAGTTATAAATAACAGGGCTGGACAGAAAATGTGCAGTACCAAAGTCACAGCCCCATACTGTCTCTCGGGTATTAGGGTAGCCTTACCAGGTGTTAATCTTTAGGATACAATTCCCAGTATACAGGGAGGCATCCCTGATGTTCATCCTCATGTGGAGTGAATGGGGTGTGGACAGCTTTGGGATTCTCAGGAATCAGGGTTAAGCAATCACTAGTCTCTCTTTAGGTATAGCAGAAGCCAGTGTCCTTGTTGAATTGTGTGAGATACAGCAGTTTACAAACTGTGACATATTCAGTCTTTTTTTTTTTTTTTTTTTAAACATTTCACAAATTTGTGTGTCATCCTTGCACAGGGACCATGCTAATCTTCTCTGTATTGTTCCAATTTTAGTCTCCTGCATGCTGGGGACAAAGGGCCTGACCACGAGTATGTGCTGGTTGAGGAAGAGGAGTGTGCCGTGAGCAAGAGGGAGGATGCCCCAAATGAGGAAGTAAGTAGAAGAAAATAAATTGCTTCCTCCAAAGCCATTTGCTTCTGGAGATTTTGGCTAATAGGGATGTCTTTTGACTGCAGCTGGTCCAAGGGACCAGATCCAAGGGAACCAGCAGGCTCTGGGTCTGGGCCACAGCAGTTGTGAGAGCCTTTTCTGTTTTTTGTTTTTGTTTTTATTTGAGACAGAGTCTTCCTCTGTTGCCAGGCGCCAGGCTGGAGTGCAGTGGCACAATCTCGGCTCACTACCACCTCCACCTCCCAGGTTCAAGCAATTCTTCTGCCTCAGCCTCCCGAGTAGCTGGGACCACAGGTGCACGCCACTATGCCCAGCTAATTTTTTGTATTTTTTAGTAGAGACAGGATTTCACCATGGTCTCAATCTCTTGACTTTGTGATCCGACCGCCTCGGCCTCCCAAAGTGCTGGGATTATAGGCATGAGCCACCATGCGCGGCCTATGAGGGCCTTTTCAACTAAAACCCCAAAGTTGGTGAATAGCTTTTAAAAATTTTATAAAATTAAGGCAAGGCCAATGGTATTCTCTCCTTTATTTGGGAGAAAACAAAATGGGGTGGTAATTACACATCATCTTGAGTATAGCTGAGCAAGAAGGGCTCACATGTGGAAGTCAGGCATCATGAGAAAAGCCTAGGGATGCTGGGTAAGAGTTACGTCATTAAGGGACTTGCTGTCAGAGAGAGTTACCCTAGAGTTGTCTGGAATCGCTCAAAATTAGAAACAGTCTAATGGCTAAATGGGATATGAGATACCCATTCAAAGAAATGTTATGTAGACTTAGAATGAGGTTTATGAAGTCATATTGAGAACATAGGAGCCAGGCACAGTGTCTCACACCTGTAATCCCAGCACTTTGGGAGAACGAGGCAGGAGGATCACTTGAGGCCAGGAGTTTGAGACCAGCCAGGGCAATATAGCAAGACCTAATTTCTACTAAAAATTTAAAAAAATTGCTGGGTATGGTGGTACATGCCAGTAGTCCCAGCTACTCAAGAGGCTGAAACAGGAGGACTACTTGAGCCTGGGATATCAGGCTTAGAGTGATACCCTGGCAATAGAGTGATACCCTGTCTCAAAAAAAAAAAGAAAAACATAGGCACATGCTTATTAGGTATAATGGGAATGAAAAAAAAGCAACACGTAAAACAAAATTCATCTCAAAATAATTACAACTGCAGAAAAAATTCACGAGGGAAAAAAGAAATAAACCAGAATCTTAGTAATGGAAAAATTAAAACTTTGTTTTCCACACAAGTAATAAAAAATCATTTCTTGGCCAAATGTGGTATCTCACACCTGTAATCAACACTTTGGGGAATTAAGTGGGAGATTTGCGTGAGGCCATGAGTTCAAGACCAGCCTGAGCAACTCTGTCTCTACAAAAAAATTAGCCAGGCATGGTGGCATGTGCCTGTGGTCCCAGCTCCTAGGGAGGCTGAGACAGGAGAATTACTTGAGTATAGAAATTTGAGGCAGCAGTGACCTGCGATCACACCACTACACTCCAGTCTGGGCAATAGAGCAAGAGCCTGTCTTGATAAAATTTTGTTTTAATCATTTCTTCATAAGACTAACACAATAGAATGTGAATTGTGGTAATTCATAAGAAAAATTTTCATTTTAAAATAGAGTCTCTTTATTACATGTAGTGCTTCCGTTCGTTCTGTGTATATTGTATTTCTTTCTCTTTAGTTGGTGCAAAGAAAGAGACTAATATGCAGAAGAAATCCATATAGGATCTTTGAGTATTTGCAACTCAGCCTAGAAGAGGTATGTTTTCAACATGTTATCATTGCAGCTGTTGGTCTCTGGGCCTGAACTACACTGTATGTGAACCTATCTCACAATGTAGTTCTGTATGTAATTCAGTTATTGAATATTTTAATTCAGTATTGAAATCACTATGGGCAGCTTCCAAAGTAGGCCTGCCCAAATTTCATTCCTCAGACTTTATTTCATCAGTTCCAAAATATGTGTTTGCAATAAATAGAAAATTAGAGGGGTTTTTCTGAGTACTACTTTTCTCATTAAGATTTTAGATTGGTAGGCTGGGCACGGTGGTTCACACCTGTAATCCCAGCACTTTGGGAGGCTGAGGCAGGTGGATCACCTGAGGTCAGGAGTTTAAGACCAGCCTGGCCAACGTGGTAAAACCCTGTCTCTACTACAAATATAAAAATTAGCCATAGTGGCTCACACCTGTAATCCCAGCTACTCAGGAGATTGAGGCAGGAGTTGCTTCAACCTGGTATGCAGAGATTATAGTGAGCTGAGATCGCCCTATTGCACTCCAGCCTGGGTGACAGAGTGAAACTCCATTTAAAAAAAAACCCAAAAAACAGATTTTAGATTTTTGGCTGGGTATGATGGCTCATGCCTGTAGTCCAGCCACTTGGGTGGCTGATGTGGTAGGATTATTTGAGCCCAGGAGGTCAAGTCTGCAGTGAGCCACGATTGCACTACTGCACTCCAGCTTGGGCAACAGAATGAGACTCTGTGTCAGACAAAGAATAAAAAGATTTTGGATTATTAACAGATGCTGACTGGTGATGTGGGGGTTGGGGTGGGGAGGGGGTGGAAAGAAACAAATGGATTTCAGATTGGCTGAATATTTTTGTTACAAATTTTCACTAGCTTTTTAAAAAGTACTATAATTCACATACCATATAATTTATCCACTTAAAGATTATAAGTCACTGTTGTTTGGTATATTCATGGAGTTCCACCAGCTTTTCATATGTGATGCTACATGATTCAGATCATGTAGTGACTGCTAATTAAGTAAATGGATTTATTTCCTTCTTCAGGATCCCTCCACTTACTGCAGTAGCTACATTCTTGAAAGTTAGCTTGAGCCTGGTGCCATGGCTCACACCTGTAATCCCAGTACTCTGGGAGGCCGAGGCAGGCAGATAGCTTGAGCCCTAGAGTTCGAGATCAGCCTAAGCAACATGGCAAAACCCCATCTCTACAAAAAATTAGCCAGGTGTGGTGGTGCATGCCTATAGTCTCAACTACTTGGGTAGCTGAGGTGGGAGGGTTGCTTGAGCCTGAAAGGTTGAGGCTTCAATGAACCAAGATTGCGCCACTGCACAAGCAAGACACTGTTTCTTTTTTTTTTTTCAAACTGTATCCAGCTTTATTAAAGATACTTTCCATAAACAATCATGGTATTTCAGGCAGGACACAGGCAGACAATCATTAACAGTATACAACAACTTTCAAACTCCCTTCTTTGATGGACTACCAAAAATCAGAAAGCCACTATAAAACCCAATGAAGTCTTCATCTGATGCTCTGAACAGGGAAAGTTTAGAGTGAGGGTTGACATTTCATATTTAGCATGTTGTTTAACAACTTTTCACGAGCTGGCCCTGACTTTCAGGAAGTGAAATGAAAATGGCACAATTTATCTGAAGATCCACAATCTAGAAATGGAATCACTGCTCTTTTGACAGGTGCCATCTCAGTGTCATCAGTGGCAAGTCCAGATTGCCTGACACACTGGTAACCAATGACTGGGGGTCAACAGATGCCTGGGCTTAAGGGAGTTAAGTCTATGCTGAAAGACGGAAAGGGAGAAGAGGACATAAAAGGGAATTTGTTTTTCCATACCACAAGGCTTTTGTGTGCCAAGGTGGCCATGTGTGTCAAAATCAGGGAATCCCTCCTCCTGGGAGCCAAGAGGAAGTCTCTCAAAACTAGAAGGGAAAGTCATTTCCCCGTATCAGTCCAGCTTTGGAGACATTCTATTAGTGACATATGCCCCTTCTCCCAAAACAACAATGAAGTGTTCTGTGTGCTAACAACATAGCTTAAAAAAAAAAAGTAAAACAAAATTCTGCATTTTTATAAAACTTGATAAAAAATACTATTTCAGACTGTACAGTCACCAGAAGTACACAGTTATCAAAAATGCACACACTTCACTTGGCGTCTCCAGCACCTTTGGCTTTCTGTGCCTGGTCTGTTTTGGCATCTCCATTTTCTGCAGGGTTATTCCCTTCCTTGCCAGCATCAGCTTTTCCCTTTTTCCCTTTGGGTACCTTCTCTCCCTTCTTTGCAGGGGCCTTTTTAGGCTTGGGCTCTGGCTTTGGAGAAGCACGTTTAGCAGACAACCTCGCAGATGTTCTCTGTGGTTTGTCCTTCACCTTGGCTTTATCTCCTTTAGCATCCCCTTCGGCCTTTCTCTTGGGCATGGTGGCGACGGCGGCGGGACTTAGGCGCTAGGCGCAGGATGCAGCGGCGCATAGGCTTCGGTCGGTCCGGGGGTCGTTCTTGCCGCCTCCTCTTCACACTGCTCCTTTTTTTTTTTTTTTTTTTAATTTACTTAAAATTTACCTCAGGCCACATATAGTCAGTGGCTCATGCCTGTAATCCCAGCACTTAAACAGGCAGAGGTGGATCGCTTGAGCCCAGGGTCACGGTTTTAAAAAAAAAAAAAAAAAAAAGTGGCTAAAAATGCCCTTCCATAAACTGCATCATATTGTCCCAGTGATTTGCAGTTCCTCTAACCAGTGGTCACTTTATGCTCAGTCTCTCCTTTCTTGCTTATATTAGTAGTGCACACAGAAATGTTCTTTCTGCCTTTGAAGCTAGCACCCCTTCTTGGGCTCCCCTCTCCTCCGGGAGCTCTGTGATGGCTTTCTTTGATAGCTCCTGCAGTGTCCAGTGTGGTTCTTGGCATATGTGTAGGTCCCAGGAAGTGCTATGGAATGCATCTATGTTGGTAATTTTATAGCTGAGACCACAGGAAAGTAATTGCATCTCCCTATTCCCTTTGTCCTGTGGTCTGTGTTCCTTCCTTGCAGAGAGGCCAGTGGCACAAAGTGCAGACTCTCAGGGCAGGAAGGGATATTTGAATGATTTACTTTATTTCTTCATTTTACAAAGGAGATCACTTAGTCTGCCTGCCATGAAACACGGTAGCCACTAGCCACATGACTAATTCAAATTAAATACAATTCAAAATTCCTTTTCTCAGTTGCACCAGCCACCTTTCAAACACTGACCAGCCATGTGTGGCCACTGGCTACTGTAGTGAACTGCACATGCATAGGCATTCCCAGCATCGTGGAGACCTTTATCAAATAGCCTGTGGGTACCCATTCTCTAAGTGTTTGGCCTCTCAGCGCCTCAGATTTCTTCTCTGTAAAGTGGGGGCTGTGTAACATCTTGTTCATAGGATGTTCTGGATATTAAATAATACATGTAATTGGGTAAGGACAGTATCTGATATATAGTAAATGCTCAATAAATGTTAGTGCCTGCTACTTTTGTCATTATTCAGTTACTTGTAAAAGCTAATTAGCAGCTAGTTGGAACTTTCTTTTTTACAATCACAAAAATGTCCACTGGATACGTACTATGTGCCAGATGTTGGGCTAAGTGCTATCAATACTGAAATAAATAGAACATGACTTTGGTCTTAAAGATAGCCCAGAAATCGTTACAGTTCAGGGTGATAAGCACAGTGTGGCATATGGATCTTGTCAGTGTCACTCTTCCTGTTTCCTTGGGCCCAATGCCTGACATATATTAGTTGAGTAATAATTATCTGTTAAATGAATGAATGTACAAGATAGGGAATTTGCACAGAAGCTGGTGGAGACCATCGGGCAGGGCTGAGGTGGAAAGCCTTTATAGTCATGATAGCTGAGTATGGTAAAGGATAAATGGGGCTTGCCACCTGGTCATGGGGTAGCATAGGCTCTTCCAGACAGCTCAGCCAAAAGTAACAGATGGGGGAGGGTATGTCCATGAGTCGGGGTCTGGCCTGGTCCTGGGGCAGCAGGTCATTGCAGGGGTTTCCGTAGGGGAGTGGTAGCGATCAGAGGTAGCATTAATATGGAGGTGTGGCCTGGGAAGTGGCAGCCAAAGGTAAAAGGTATTAGGTGTCACATGCTGGGAGTTCAGCCTCACTGTTCAGTTGACCAGCTTTTGCCTTTTATTGATGAATTGTTTAAAGGCTGCTGCTGCCTGCTACCTCCTCTCAAACACTCCCTGATGAAAGGCAAGAGTAATAGGAGACAGGAGATGAGGTTACTCTGCCTTCTTAGAAGCTGCCTGGCACCTGAGAACATTTCAGAGATGTGTTGCAGAAGTTTTCAGGGAGCATACCGTTAAACCTAGCTCTACTTGTTCTGTTTTGGCAGATTTCTTTTGAATGAATCACCCACGTTTGGCGCACTGCATGTACCTGCTGAGTGTTTCTGTGAATGTCAGTCTGGAACATAGGCAACTGTTGGAGGTAGAATGGGGTCTCACTCCTGCTGTGGCAATTCATAGCAGCTCTTTTGAGGGACTCAGAGTGGTAATACACAGCTGTCTTCGAAGTCTGCTCAGCACTGACATGGGAAGCTTTTGGTCTGTAACCTACCACAGATGTGGACATGCAGCCTTGTAGGGGTGTTTTCATGCCTTTGCCTTGACTCATTCAAAACAGAGATTTTGGACATTTTGATAGAGTAATCAAAGAGCTATAAACTATATTTACCTCAGTTATTTCTGAGTAGTTATTTCTGAAGACTTCTGTCTCCATCCAGCATTTGCATCCTTCAGTGGACACCCACACATGCAAACGCTCAAATGCTTTGCTTTTTTTTTTATTTTAAATTTTGTTTTTTTTAGAGACAGGGTTTCTCTCTGTTGCCCAGGCTGGAGTACAGTGGTACCATTGTAGCTCACTGAAGCCTCGTACTCCTAAGCTTAAGGTATCCTACCACCTCAGCCTCCTGAGTAGCTAGACCTATAGGTGCATGCCACCATGT